TATGTCCAGTAGCGGACTCTTGTAAACATTCGGGTTTCATAAGAGGCGTGTAATTTTTTTGATTGTATGCGCAACTATTATCTTCTCAAGAAGGAATTTGTTGTACGAAGTTAGTCACTGTAATTAATTAAAAAGTTATAAAAATATCCAAACTGATTGAATTTAAAGTAAAAGGGACCGTGATCTTGTTTTGATACACTTGTTTAAATGATTCTCATAAACATTGAAAAGTAAAACGATGATTTTCTCTTTTAACGATTTTAATTACACAACCGCAAAATTTTATTCTAGTTTTTTTAAGTGAATAAAACAGTTAGTGGTGAGGTTTTTTTAAAGTAATTTCCATTGTATCATCTCCAGAACTGTTGAGCAGATTTCGATTAAATGTGGTATTGTATGGGTCCTTACCATCAGTGGTCTAGCGAATTTAACTTTCCTTTGTATCAGTACGATATAACCACATGACGTGAAATTATATCGATATGTCGATTTCATCGTAAATGGTTACTATGAAATATATCATTTCCAACTTAAAAATCATTTGCTTCAACTGGTGAATAAGTATATATTAAATCTTGTCCGTCTAATCACAATAATTCTTATTAAATATTAAAATATTACAATAATTAACATTTAAAAATATTTAAAATATTAAATGATGTTCTTTATCGAAATATTCGATTTACATTAGACCATCATTTTTCATGTTTCACGACATGTTTCAGTTCCTAAAAGAACCATCCTCAGGTGTATATAATTATATAAAGCTTCAAAATGATAAATAATTCAAATACAATTTTCATACATTACCATCTGGTGAATTAAGTGTTATATCTGTGGTAGTTTTGGCTTTGTACATGCAATACATTACATTCGCTGTGTAATAAGTAATATAAAATAGTAAATTCTGCATCTAGAAATTCTGCTTAGACCATTCTTGTTATTACTGGTTGCGTACCTACAAGAGACTGAATAAAAAGCAAATGTTAGTCATCTGCTAATGTCAACAGCGAAACTCTTATTCGGAATTAGTTGAAGGATGTGCCGTATCATCAGTTTTATAGCAGAAAGCATCAGTGGTTTATGTGTTACTGTTGATGATGTAAAGTCAAAAAAAAAAGACAGCTATGGACTCTTCTCGAAAGACGTGGCCTTAATTATCGACTTTTATAAAGGTCGATCAATCGGATCAAATGTAGTGGACAAAATTTTATTCATATAAAATTGTGCTAATTAATAATTTTACTTTATATAATGTTATTTTCTTCTGTTGTTTTAATGGTTCTCCGTGTTAACACGGCGTATTTTAGTTTCCACTTCTACTTATATTTTATGTCATCGGATAAAAACAAATCTTTTACTTTTGAGTGTCGGGTGCTCATTTATATCCACCAATTAAATAATTGTCTTCCGCAGGGGTCCCAACATAGACATAGACTTTATCCCCTCTTTCCTTTTACCTGAAGACGGAAGAAGACGTAGCTTTTGAAACACTGTGATTTATTTACGAGTACGACGAAGGACAGAGTCCCAGGAAACAGTTTTACAGGCTATAATGCTCCATCGTCTGAAATCTTTAGACTTCGTATATTAATTTTACAACTCGTACAACAATCTTTATAAGTGTATCTGTATTTTGTATATTTAACGATATATTTCTTGAAGTTAATTTCCTGTAGAATGAAAAATCACGTCCGTTTTTATCCAAAGTTTAATCTCGGTGCAAATTTTATACAGACGTTTCAATATGGTGATATCAATTTAGCAAACGTAGACATTCATGTTTGGGAAAAATAAAAAATGCATATAGAGTTTTGGTTAAAACGCTTAGAGAATGGGGGATGAAGGAAAATAATATTAAAATTATTATAACGAAATACTGTGTGTAAACTGGATTAGTGGGGGGCTGTTTCGAAAAAGGTAATAAACCACCAGATTCTATAGAACGCGAGAGATTTTTTGACTGACTCAGCTTCTCAAGAAGGACTATGCACCGTGGGGGTTGGAATTACTTATTGCCAAACTAGTGAACGATAAATAATTTTATGTTCACTCAGAGCAACCAGTAGATAACGCCACTTGTAATAGTTAAACAGGCACTACATACAATTGGCACATCAGCCTCAAATAAACAGATATTAAGCATTTAATTGTTGAAGTAAAGTGACAGGATTTGGCAGATGTCTTATGCTGAATACTCCTACTAGAACTCTAGCAATGAATGCTTTAGCGTTAACACTGGTGGGTAGTTAAAACAGTTCAAATTGAGGACGTTATATAGTGTCCCATAAGTTCAATACAATAGGAGACTGTATTATTTATCAAAATACGGAGAAAGTAAAAGACGAATAGGTTGTAAATCATGTGTTTGTAATCTCAAGTGTTGGAATTGTTTGCTTGGGACATGCCGTTACGGCACTAAACTCTTTGTATTTAAAATTGTAAAAATTTCCGGCAATGTTGCCGCGTCAACATGACAGTTCTCTGGTAATTTATGTTTTCCTGGTTTATTTACTTCGTATTTCCTGTGATACCTATTTCTTCTTCATTTCCATTGTCCCCACTCTGGAAATATATCACCCATTAACTGCTATATCAATGTGGCAACATCGCCTTAGCATTTTACAATTGATATTGTAAATAATAGCTTTGTAACGGCTAATAGGTAAAAAAATTCCAACACTTGATATTCGAAGAACATTATTTGTAACATTTCCATATTTTGCTAAATAATAAATTCTTCAATTGCCATAGACGTATGGCACACACTGTATATCATGAAGACAGAAGCCGTGGGAATAGGCGTGTTTGCCAACAGTGTTTGCCTTGTCCGTCAGTGTAAATAATTTAATTAATTATCTAAACTACTGTCATCTTCTCTGGGTCTTCTCAGTCGAATTAGTTACTTACCAGCGCGCATTAACCTTTAATGTATTTTAAAAACGCTATTACCTAACAAATTTCTTAGTGTCAGTAACGTATCCTGATCTCTTGGTCTCCTGATCTCTTCTAACACTTCTTCAGAGCTGAATGGTATTTCAAGGTTTCGTTGAACACATCTGGTTCCCCTAAACCCCATTTTCCCCTCAAGTTCTTAACTTGGCGCATTTAGATTTTATCGTTTGTTTCGATTACGAGAACATCGATAGTCGATTGTGTTCTTCACCGCGTATAAAACATTTGTACTCATTCAACTACAGCTCGGATAGCCGCTCTTTCGGGTAAAGACAGCCAGTTTGTCAAGTTGACAATTTATTTTCCCTTTTTCTTGTCTCCACAAGCCTTGAAGTAACGTTTGCCGCATCGAACTTGTTCTGATGAAGAACCCACGTTATCAGATTATCGACACGGTCGCTCCATTACTGGCCTCAGTACTTGTTGACTCGAGGCCAAAACGATTTATCGATTTAAACTCTTCCGACTAAACTCACAGCCCGGGATATTCAACAGACTCTCAAGTACTTGTTATCGTGTGCATATCCAAGTGGCTTTAAGGAGTGTCTGATAATCGAGGAGGACTGCTGAGGGCAACGGGGAAGTACTATTTACTGAAACACGTCCTTTGGATTTGAAACTATAGTAGGGGCTAAAATGGACCTGGAACCACGGTCTTAATTAGAAGCGGACTTACTATTGAACTCCAACCACTGAAACAGAACGAAGCAGTTAGATCTGAGAAGTTATAAACCTAGTGGTCTTGATATTCTTCCGTACATATCCAGGAGATCTGAGAAATTATTACCATAACGATGTTACGCGGTGCTCGAAGGTCGAACACTGCTCGAAATTTTAGGTATCCACATTAAATAACCATAGTGACTACCATTCCAGAAATTCTCACATCAGTCATGTAACAACGAATTTTATATTTGTCTCCAAACGATTCTCTGACAAATTTCATTACGCACATTGATTAATTTATAGACAGACGTAAAAATAGGTAGATTATCTTGTTAGGCTGACTAGTACGAGGGTCGGTATGTATACAGGTTTTTGTTATGAGTCCGGTAGGAAACATATGATCCCCTCAGATCTTTCGACGTCTTGCTGGCTGACACAAACACAGACAGGTTTAACTTCGTAATTCACAGAGATAAAGGAGAAGGAGATTGTTAATGATACAGGTATATTGTACTGATGTTTTCTGAACAGTTAGTAGAATGCTTTCTCGCGCGACCTTGAAACGCATGGCTAGACCTAGTGGCAACTGTCAAGATTACTTGCGCGTATAATACAATCACATACAAGAGGGGACTAAGTAAGGTCTGTCAACATAAAATATAAGAGTGATATATTTTTTGGTAAAAAGGTTTCTTGATTTCAAAAGTTTTCGGTTGGGCCTTAAGCTATTTTGGCCTCTTTTTTTTTTATTACGAATTCTGGTTTCAGATTCATTTTCACCAGTGGTACATTCTTCTGTTGATCCGAACAGGCTTATCTATTTGAACCGAAACTTGAACACGTTACAGTCGGCTGTCACTAAGAATGTGTTCATCAACACTTGTACGCCACACTGTCTTCTGTCATTCATAAAATTTCGTCCAACACAGCTGTAACCATATTGAACTGTTATTATTTTGCACATTTCACTAGTTTTGAGACGCTGTAACGACAAAAGTTCTGCAGTTTTAATTTATTAACTCTTAGATACAAAACAACAATTTGCAAATGAGAGAAGTTTGATATTCTTTATATGTCATCCTTTTTGACGTAAATACGTCTATATTTTTGGGTCAGTGTCATTCGGCAAAAAGTGAAACGAAAAAGTGTAACTGCATTGTTATGTTACCTTGGAAACGTCATCTGTTTATCAACAAATAAACAACAATGGTTACCTACATAGTTACCTTACATTTCATTACTTTACATTACTTTACTTTACATTACATTCAGCTACCACAGACCCATCTTAAGCGTAACTAATTCAAGTTAAATAAGCAAAGTACGTATTTACGTCAAATTCTCCGGAACCGTGGTTCCACTGACAACTTTTTGGCATTGCTGAAATTACTTTACTTTGCGTACGTTGCCTTAAATACACCCACGCGTTTGTGCTACAACGAGCCGATTTAGTTGTACGTAAGGAAATTTATTTTGTTTTAAAATATCTATGGGTTATCAAAGTGCCTTTCACAGGAAGTTTCAAGGTAGGTAGTGCAAAAGTAATATATAATGGCTGAAAATGTGCGAAAAACAACTCACACAGCTTCAGTCGTGGCTTAAGTGGTTTCACACAAACCTTGACATTTTCTCGTCGACAGTTTTTAGATCCCGGTTGAATAACACGGCGTAGGTCAAAGAAATGTTGAAAACCATGAATACTGTCGCTTTCACTGTCATGTGTCTGGCACATAACCTTGGCGCTCTGCCGCTGACGTCCAACTGGTCA